AAATTAATTTTCACATACATTCTCTCCGTATAGATTATTGCTACGAGTTTATGGAAGTTACGACGTAATATTTTAAAATATGAAAACGCTGGATGGGTTGTAAATAGCTTAATTTTACACCTTTTTTCACCTTTTAATCGAAATAGCCAGAAAACGGAATCGAAATTAAAAAAACTGGTCCCAACATTTTGTGCGCCTTTAAAGGGCGCACAATTTCAGTTATACCAGATTTGAAAAAAATAATATTTGCTTTCGAAAAATGGTACCGAACTGTCAAAATTGTAGTTTTTTGTCAATTTACGCCACTTCCGGTGCCGACAGATAACACTATTGGTAACAAAAAAAATGACAATTGAGACAACGGAGCATATGAACTTTGTTTTATACAAATCGAACAATAAATAATGAATCTAGGACTGAAAAACTGAATTAGCCAATGGGGGCCAAGGAAAATTACCGAGACAAAAAATTTTCACATTTTTGCCCAAGTCAGAGGACTCGTTATATTTGTGTAAAACACGACTAAAAAATATTCATAAATAAAAAAGTTTTTTGTAAAAATTTAAATTTTCTAAATTTAGCGCCTAATATCTGCAAAGATTTGCCGAAAATCAAAAATCAAAAGTAGCGTAGCTATGTGCCCCGTCTCCGGCTATGCCAAAATGCATCGAAAGTTAAAATCCAATGATTATTGTTAAAATTACTGCAATATTTCTAAAAACGATAGCTTCGGTGATTTCGGACATTTCGCATTGTCGCAGAACGTTCAAAATAGCTTTATCCTCTAAGTCACACACACATTTCCGATAAAACCGAAGAAATCGTAACGATCCGACAATCAGTTGCTGAGATCTACTCAAAACAAAAGAAGAATAATAATAATAAGAACTAGAACTGCGAAGCAGTAATGACGGGTTTCACCGGTGCCACGTTACCCTTGAACTTATGTCACTTCCGGTACCAAAATTACATTACTTCCGGTGATAATGAAAATGTTAAATTGGTTTATGAAATCAGAAATAGCATCATCACATGGTGAAAATTTTATGTAAATCCTATAATAGTTGCCACCTTTATAGACCAAAAACCTTGAAAAATGACTTGTAGAAAATCGCCTATTTCTCTGCAACCGTACAAGTTAGAAACCATTTTGAGGTATCTGTATGATCGAATGAGTTCATTCTATTTGTTGATTGGAATCAAATATCATAATTTTAAAAACATTACAAATCTGATTCATTTGAATAAAATATCTGTTTTGAAGGCTAAAAATACAGTTTTTGCCAAAATGACGTTACTTCCGGTGATAATGAAAATCTTAAATTACTTGTATGAAATCGTAAATGGCATTAGGTATCACACAATGAAAATTTCATGAAAATCGAATAATAATTGACACTTTTATTGACAAAAAACCTTAAAAAGTGACCTGTTGAAAATTGCCTATTTCCCCGCAACTGAACAAGTTAGAAACCATTTTGTGATATCTATATGATCGTAAGGGTTCATTGTATTAGTTCATTTGAATCAAATATCAAAATTTTAAACAAATAACAAATATGACTCATTTGAATAAATTACTGGTTTCGAAGGCTATAAATACAATTTTTGCCCAAATTACGTCATTTCCGGTGATATTGAAAATGTTAAATTGGTTTGACCTAGTTAAAATTGACATTACACATCAAATGGTGTCACTTTTATGAAAATCGAATAATAATTGACTCTTTTACAGGCAAACTAGCGTAAAAAGTGACTCATGCAAAATTGCCCATTTCTCGGCAACTGCGCATATTACAAATTAATTTTCACATACATTCTCTCCGTATAGATTATTGCTACGAGTTTATGAAAGTTACGAAGTAATATTTTAAAATATGAAAACGCTGGATGGGTTGTAAATAGCTTAATTTTACACCTTTTTTCACCTTTTAATCGAAATAGCCCGAAAACGGAATCGAAATTAAAAAAACTGGTTCCAACATTTTGTGCGCCTTTAAAGGGCGCACAATTTCAGTTATACCAGATTTGAAAAAAATAATATTTGCTTTCGAAAAATGGTACCTAACTGTCAAAATTGTAGTTTTTTGTCAATTTACGCCACTTCCGGTGCCGACAGATAACACTATTGGTAACAAAAAAAATGACAATTGAGACAACGGAGCATATGAACTTTGTTTTATACAAATCGAACAATAAATAATTAATCTAGGACTGAAAAACTGAATTAGCCAATTGGGGCCAAGGAAAATTACCGAGACAAAAATTTTTCACATTTTTGCCCAAGTCAGAGGACTCGTTATATTTGTGTAAAACACGACTAAAAAATATTCATAAATAAAAAAGTTTTTTGTAAAAATTTAAATTTTCTAAATTTAGCGCCTAATATCTGCGAAGATTTGCCGAAAATCAAAAATCAAAATTAGCGTAGCTATGTGCCCCGTCTCCGGCTATGCCAAAATGCATCGAAAGTTAAAATCCAATGATTATTGTTAAAATTACTGCAATATTTCTAAAAACGATAGCTTCGGTGATTTCGGACATTTTGCATTGTCGCAGAACGTTCAAAATAGCTTTATCCTCTAAGTCACACCCACTTTTTCAGTAAAACTGAAGAAATCGTAACGATCCGACAATCAGTTGCTGAGATCTACTCAAAACAAAAGAAGAATAATAATAATAATAAGAACTAGAACTGCGAAGCAGTAATGACGGGTTTCACCGGTGCCACGTTACCCTTGAACTTATGTCACTTCCGGTACCAATGAAACCGTTAAACAGGTTTCCACATAAGCATTGCACACATGAAATAAAATGGACGCAGAAACAACCAAATCCAGCAATCAATTCATTTGCTACATGTCAGTGATCCTGTCAAAATTACATTACTTCCGGTGATAATGAAAATGTTAAATTGGTTTATGAAATCAGAAATAGCATGATCACATGGTGAAAATTTTATGTAAATCCTATAATAATTGCCACCTTTATAGACCAAAAACCTTGAAAAATGACTTGTAGAAAATCGCCTATTTCTCTGCAACCGTACAAGTTAGAAACCATTTTGAGGTATCTGTATGATCGAAGGAGTTCATTCTATTTGTTGATTGGAATCAAATATCATAATTTTAAAAACATTACAAATCTGATTCATTTGAATAAAATATCTGTTTTGAAGGCTAAAAATACAGTTTTTGCCAAAATGACATTACTTCCGGTGATAATGAAAATCTGAAATTACTTGTATGAAATCGTAAATGGCATTATGTATCACACAGTGAAAATTTCATGAAAATCGAATAATAATTGAGACTTTTATTGACTAAAAACCTTAAAAAGTGACCTGTTGAAAATTGCTTATTTCTCCGCAACTGAACAAGTTAGAAACCATTTTGTGATATCTATATGATCGTAAGGGGTCATTGTATTAGTTGATTTGAATCAAATATCAAAATTTTAAACAAATAACAAATATGACTCATTTGAATAAATTACTGGTTTCGAAGGCTATAAATACAATTTTTGCCCAAATTACGTCATTTCCGGTGATATTGAAAGGGTTAATTTGGTTTGACCTAGTTAAAATTGACATTACACATCAAATGGTGTCACTTTTATGAAAATCGAATAATAATTGACTCTTTTACAGGCAAACTAGCGTAAAAAGTGACTCATGCAAAATTGCCCATTTCTCGGCAACTGCGCATATTACAAATTAATTTTCACATACATTCTCTCCGTATAGATTATTGCTACGAGTTTATGAAAGTTACGAAGTAATATTTTAAAATATGAAAACGCTGGATGGGTTGTAAATAGCTTAATTTTACACCTTTTTTCACCTTTTAATCGAAATAGCCCGAAAACGGAATCGAAATTAAAAAAACTGGTCCCAACATTTTGTGCGCCTTTAAAGGGCGCACAATTTCAGTTATACCAGATTTGAAAACAATAATATTTGCTTTCGAAAAATGGTACCTAACTGTCAAAATTGTAGTTTTTTGTCAATTTACGCCACTTCCGGTGCCGACAGATAACACTATTGGTAACAAAAAAAATGACAATTGAGACAACGGAGCATATGAACTTTGTTTTATACAAATCGAACAATAAATAATTAATCTAGGACTGAAAAACTGAATTAGCCAATGGGGGCCAAGGAAAATTACCGAGACAAAAAATTTTCACATTTTTGCCCAAGTCAGAGGGCTCGTTATATTTATGTAAAACACGACTAAAAAATATTCATAAATAAAAAAGTTTTTTGTAAAAATTTAAATTTTCTAAATTTAGCGCCTAATATCTGCGAAGATTTGCCGAAAATCAAAAATCAAAAGTAGCGCAGCTATGTGCCCTGTCTCCAGCTATGCCAAAATGTATCGAAAGTTAAAATCCCATGATTATTGTTAAAATTACCGCAATATTTGTAAAAACGATAACTTCGGTGATTTCGGACATTTCGCATTGTCGCAGAACGTTCAAAATAGCTTTATCCTCTAAGTCACACCCACTTTCCCAGTAAAACCGAAAAAATCGTAACGATGCGACAAGTAGTTGCTGAGATCTACTCAAAACAAAAGAAGAATAATAATAATAATAAGAATAATAATTTTAACAAAAACAATAGTGTTTCACACAAGCTTCGCAGTGTGAAACCCTAATAATAATTTTAACAAAAACAATAGTGTTTCACACAAGCTACGCAGTGTGAAACCCTAATAATAATTTTAACAAAAACAATAGTGTTTCACACAAGCTACGCAGTGTGAAACCCTAATAAGAATAATAATTTTAACAAAAACAATAGTGTTTCACACAAGCTTCGCAGTGTGAAACCCTAATAATAATTTTAACAAAAACAATAGTGTTTCACACAAGCTTCGCAGTGTGAAACCCTAATAATAATTTTAACAAAAACAATAGTGTTTCACACAAGCTACGCAGTGTGAAACCCTAATTACACTTATTTATTATCTATCAATTATAAATGTGCATTTCAGGTAATTGGTGACCAGTATCATATAAATATACCAATAAAGAAACCAGGTATTATAGTTTTATCTATATATATATATATATATATATATATATATATATATATATACTTCTTTAATGGAAAAATTTATGTGCTTAATCGCACCTTCAGTTACATCACACGAGAGAGAGAGAGAGAGGGACAGAGAGAGAGAGAGAGACAGAGAGAGAGGGGTTTAAAGTCCACTCGACACAAACTATGTCATTTTGAGACAAACATATGATTCTATTTTATTTCAACAATCCGCTAGCGCTTAGGGGTCTTTAGCAGTGAGTGGAAACCGGAGGACCCGGAGAAAAACACGAGGTTGGACAGGCGACCCCACTCCTTGTCACGTACAAGCGGGGAATCGAAACCACGCCACTTAACTCAAACACAGACCTTATGATCAAACGCACACGCATTAACCATTCAACCACCCAATCCCCCAGAGTGGAAAAGATAATAAACAGTATTAGGAGACAGATTATAATGCCTGTTCCTCAATATATTTCAATTTTTTGAATAAAAGATTATTACAAAATAAAGAATTTGCAAGTTGAAAATACAGACTCAGCCATTTTTAATTTATTTACCTTAAAGCTAAGAAGATAAAGATTCCTCAACCAACAAAAGTTGTTCATGTCATTTTGACAGACATTTGTTCAAGAAACTGTGTTGAACCGCAAAGCAGTAAGTTTTCTTTTCTACACTTCCAGTGTTGTGTGTAGAAAATAGAAACATAACATTCGTGCAATATAAGCTTGATTAATTCTGAATTAATGCAAATATGGGACCAAACAAACACGGTGACTTTGGTTACAAGGGCGATAACATGCTTGGCAGTGAACAAATGATGCTTGACTCGGAACAAATGAAGGTTATGTCTGAAATTGAATAATTAAATAATACAACCGAGTTGGAAATAAAAATCTTATGAACTCTTATCTCCAGAGTAAGTACATATACATGGTTTCGATGACAGAGGCAAAAATTTGTTAGGGATTCTGCCTATTAGTCCTTGAATAACTTCACCATCTCAGTATTCCAGGCAAGGTAACATACGCCCACTAGTAGCCTCATCGTCTGTGATGTACAAAGACCCTTCGTATTTTAATTTTTCCATTTTCATTTTTTTAAAAAAATGTTTTTAATGTCCGGGGCAATAAATGGCTCCTTTGTATTATTACTAATAAGCATTTCGTGAAAATGGATTACGGCCTGCACCCTCTCGAATGAATAATGCTTTGATGAACCATCAGTCATGGGCAATAACTGTTTACTAAGTAATCCTGAAATTCCTGTGAAAGTTGGTCAAGAACTTAACCTTGTAGGGTGAGAAAAAATAAGTGTTGACGGATTGATGAAAATCTATGCACTGATTACCAGCAGGGCTGTTGTTTATATTGGGTGCTTTGGGGCTAAACCAGTGGTTCTCAGCCTTTTCTTGCCAACGGCACATCTTGGAACACATGCAAAAATAGCGGCACGCCTGGCTAAATATATATGACAAATATTTGAATTTTGCAAAATAAAATAATTTATAATAATAATTTAATACATTTATAAAGCGCACATGTTCCAGCTAGTATAGCTGCTCAGTGGCGCTGGTTTTACATCAAGATAAATACTTTAAAAATACATTTTAAATATGAGATTTATTAAATTTATAATTTTTTAAAAAACATATACGATTTAAACAATTATTTAAAAAACACACAAGGCTTAAAATTACTCAAAATTTAAAATATATATAAGTTTTAAAAGTTAATTAGCAAATACGAATAAAATCATTACATGAATAAAGCAATTTAAACACTATTTACACACTATTTATAAGCATGATTAATAAGTTCAGTTTTAAGGTTTTTCTTAAATACTGCATAGTTTGAGCTGGATTTGGTTTGTTGGGAAAGTTTGTTCCACAGCATCGGGGCAGAAAATGAGAAGGCTCTTTGTCCAAATAGAGTAGTGACTTTTGGAATTTCCAAAAGATTTTGATCACTTGGTCTTAAAGATCTTGATGGCCTGTAAGGTTGAATTAGGTCTTTAAGATATCTTGGAGCATTGTCACAGTTTAAACAGAGGTATGTCAATGATAATATTTTAAACTCAATACGGAATGGGATTGGAAGCCAATGTAAGACTTTGAGCACTGGTGTTATATGTATACTCCTGTTTGTCCGGGACACTATTCGGGCAGCTTTATTTTGAATTAGCTGTAACGGTTGGATATATGAAGAAGGAAGGCCAGAAAGCAACGAATTACAGTAGTCTAATTTTGAGGTGATAAAGGCATTTACAAGTAGTTTAGTTGTGTCATAATCAATGAAGGACCTAATTTTGCCAATATTATACAGGTGATAATTGCAGGATTTGCACATTGCAGTTATTTGTGCTTTCATTGACATCTTTGAGTCGAATATAACACCCAAGTTCTTTACGGTATCAACACATGCGATTGAACTATTACCAATACGTACTGCATTGGTTTTTAAATTGTGTTTATTAAAGCGGGTTGAAAATCTTATAACTTCGGTCTTGTCGTCATTCAGTTTTAATAGATTGGTTTTCATCCAGGCTTTAATATCTAAAATACATTGTTCTAGAATAGTAATTTTCACAGTTTCAGAATGTTCATTTACAGCAACATAGAGTTGGGTGTCATCGGCGTACAACTGGTAGTCTAATCCATGATCTCGAATGACATCACCAAGAGGAGCTGTGTAGGCTGTGAAAAACAATGGGCCCACTACGGAGCCTTGCGGTACTCCGTATTTTAATTCTTTTGGTTGAGACGAAACGCCGTGTATTGATACTTTTTGACATCTTAATTTTAGATATGATTCGAACCACGCATGAGCACATCCGTTAATTCCGAATCTCAATTTGAGACGTGTGGGTAGACTCTCCTGGTCGATTGTGTCAAAAGTGGCACTTAAATCTAGTAGAATCAGGAAGACACAGTTTTTACCAGCTAATGAAGACACTACATCGTTGTGAACCCTTAAAAGAGCTGTTTCAGTGCTGTGCTTCGTTTTGTAAGCTGATTGAAAAGGTTCCTCAAGTCTGAATTGTTGCAGATGGCTACGAAAACGGACGGCTACAATTTTTTCAATTACTTTCGACAGAAAGGATAAATTGGAGACAGGCCTATAGTTTTTTTTTAAGATTTCAGGGTCCAGAGTAGGTTTTTTTTAGTAAAGGGTTTACAATAGCTTGTTTCAATATGGGAGATACATAACCAGTTTGTAAGGAAGTATTTACAATTTGTTTGATAATCCACAGTAGATCTGGTAAAGATAATTTTAATAGCCATGTTGGAACTGGATCAAGACTGCAGGATTTACTAGGTGATGCCATGATGGTTTGTTTAAGTTCATCCTCAGTTACCAATGTAAATGTGTTAAGATCGGTATCACTAGCCACAGAGTTATTGATATGCGTATGATTCAACAGAATGTCACTTTCTAATTCACTTCGTATTTCGGCTACTTTATTGGTGAAGAAAGACGAAAATCTTTCTGAAAGTTGGACATTGTCAGGAATCGATGGTAGCTGACTTTGATTACTTTGTTTAAGCAGACTATTACACTTGTTTAGAATTAGTTTTGTTTTCTTCAATTTGTTTTTGAATGTGGTTTCGTTTTGTTGATTTTATTAATTTATTTTCTTCAGTACGGAGATTGTCGTATATTTGTCTGTTTATTTCAATTTTACAATTTCTCCATATTTTTTCCGCTTAAACCTTTTTTAATTTTTATAACTAATATGTCCTTCGTAAACCATTGCTTGTTTGGACGTTTTGTCAATAGTTTTGTTTGTTCAGGAGCATGTTTGTCAAATATTGTAGCCAATTGTTTGTCATATTCCGAAATTTGATCATCCAGATTACTTAGTTTGCTAAAATGAAAGAAAACGTCATTAATGTCACTTCTAAAACTATCTATATTTATGTTCTTTGTATTCCTAAAAGTCAGTCTTTCTTTTACACTGCCAGGTTTGTTGAGCTTAAGGGAGGCAAAAACACTGTAATGATCGGAGATACAGTGATCAAGAACATTTGTACCGGCTATTATGTCATCAATATCTCTTGTAATAATTAGATCCAGAGTATGGCCCTTTCCGTGAGCAGGAACTTGCACATGTTGTGTAAGGTTATATGAAGATAAAATATTGAGAAACTGAACAGATTGCCTATCACTGACATTGTCAATATGAAAATTAAAATCACCAACTATTAATAAATGACCTGTTGATGTCACTAAATTTTGCAGTAATTCAGAAAATTCGGCTATAAATTGATCAAATGTAACTTTGTTTTTAGGAGATTGTGGAGGACGATATATAGATACAAGTCTAATATGTTCACTTTTGGTCGACAGTAATGTGTGTAATATTTCAAAAGTTTTGAAACCAGGATTTTTAATTTCCATTGATTTAATAGAATTTTTGTATATATTGCAATACCCCCGCCAGTTCGCCCTTTCCGATTTGCAGTTGTACAGGAATAATTTGCAGGAACAGTTGATTGATAGGAACACTGTCATTGTCTTTAAGCCAGGTTTCAGTCAGAGTAGAATATCGATGTCATTATCGGTAATATATTCGTGAATTTCGTCTGTTTTATTTTTGACAGATCGGACATTTAGTAAACAGAAACTGAATGTGTCTTTCGGGTCAAGATGTTTTCCTATGCAAGTGTTATTAGTATGTCTAGTATTAATTAGCCTCAAACTGCTGACACGTTTTTGAACCCTCTCATTTATTGGTCTGGAATGTATTGTTGTTTCAATATTATATACAGTTTCAGGTGCATTAAACTGAACATGATTATTAGAATTTACACATCTTTTATAGTTATTAACATCAACTAAATTTGAAAAAATCTACTTCCCTTTTTCCCCTTTTCCTGGGCTTGTTGGATATTTTAACAGGGATATAATTGTTAACACCACAGTAAGAGTTAAGTGGGTTGTTGTCTGCTGATATAAGTTCAGGAAACTGTTCATTAACAACACAGAGAATAGGAGAGTTATTTTGTGTTGGGTGACAATTCGGAGATTTCAGCTCACTAACACTGTAGGTGATCATACTGATGATTACTATTCACCACTGTAGACTGTCAACTATATGCTATTTTCATCCAAAATACACATTTAAAATAAGAAAATCTTTAAAATAATTTTCAACAGGTATCCTTATACTATAAACCAAGTCCATGCAAAAACTAGCAAGTAATAATAACAGTTAAAACACATAAAATTACAAAAAACTAGCAGACAAGACACAGTGCAACCTCTTGGCAGCCATCTTGTATCATGCATAGATGGCATACAACCGTAGACACAGACTATAGTCATAGCCACATAGAATGACTTAAACTAAATAAAGAAAAACACCGCTATGAACTTACTTTATTGCAGTGTTTCGAATTTCATCAGTCAAAATTTCGCGGCACACTTAGGAAGATCTCGTAGCACACATGTGTGCCACGGCACACTGGTTGAGAATCACTGGGCAAAACAAATTGTAACTGTGCACGCTGTCTTCAAGAACGCAATTTAACTTTTGTACATTATGGATCTAATATATAAATTATGTATTCTTATTTTAAAGAGCCTAAAGCACGTTCACATCATCTGTTTGTTCGGAATATTGAAAGACCCAAAAGTCATGGTGGTGAGGTGGAAGTGTCGGGTGATTATGTCACAATCAAGACAACTGGAAAATATTATATCAGCAGCCAATTTATGTGCCAGTCCAACACAATTGGCAGTACGCGCGGGCATATAGTTAAAAGACATAACAAGAATCTACCGAACGACCGCATTGAAACTTTAATAGCCGGTTACAATACGGGCGATGGACCAATGAAGATTTACATAGCTGGTGTATTTCAACTGAACAAAGAGGATAAATTGTTTGTTAAGTCAAGCATTTGTTTATTTCCAGATCAGCGAAAGAAAAATTATTTAACGTTGATAAAACTGGGTAACACAACCGCTCATCGGTGATCCCAAATTGGATGTGTTCATCTTCCAAATACTTCATGAAAATCACGAAAATGTGTGAAACATGTTGATCGTGATAAATCTCACACTTGTTTTAAAGAAAAAGAGAGATATATCACTTCTTATCTATTTGAAAGTAAACAATGCAAATTGTTACTGACTACCGGTACAAGATCAAATGTATATAGCGCGAAAATTACGTACCAAAAACTCTATATCTGCCATCTATAAGTATGTCTAATATTCTGTATGTTCATTTTGTACAAACAATATAACATTTGTTACCTCACGAGAGGTAAGAACCTTACAGTGGGATACGTAATCAAAGAACAAAGTAATAAAAGAAAGCCAAAGATCAACGATCAGCGACATTACTTCTTTTCTTATGCCCATCTTCGTTAGTCCAGTAGGAGCAGACAAGTAGGAAGTTAAACCCCATTTCATTTCACTTATATCTAAATGGCAGTCTGTCAGAAAGTTGTATTTCAAAATATATTCTTTAATTGCGTGATTCTACGATATTGCAGTCGCTACGTATTAAATGTTATTGATACTTCATTTTGTTTTTTATAATCGCATAACCATAATTAGATGGATGATATTATCCATCTGGATGATATTATCCATCTGGAAGCAAGTCTAATGTGTGTTTTATTTTAGTCTGCGTATATGCACTGCTGTCCTAAAGACATTGAACCTCAGTCTGTGCACTATTTACTTCAAGAATAGATCTCTGTCTTGAACGGTCGCCATAAGTGTTGTTCTAATCCATTTTACATCTACATGTATCATAGCACAAAGACTAAATAAATATTTTCTGTCTTTTTTTAATGGAAGCAGAATATATATTGTGTATAGTGTTTTCGAATAAATTCGCCGATTTAGAAAATAAAATTTCGGTCAATTAAGTTCGTTTCTGTTCTCGACTCCAGCGGAGCTAATTATCGACAGGCGTTGTAACTTTCGTATGATTGACCGTCAATGACGGGTATCAATCTGTTTTACAGACCTAATGCGACCTCCGTCTTTTATCTCTGTCCAAGATGACTGACCTTTAAAAGGTCAGACCGCTGTAGTTCTAAGGGTAACGTCACATCACAATGTTTACCAACAAAGCAAGATGGCATCGATAACGCCAAAAAAGATTACTTCTGTGGCTTGTTTTTGTTGTTTTAAAACAAACACGAGCAGGTCAATCAGATTAGACGGTAAAAAATGTACTTCTGAAAGAATTCAGAGTAAACAAACAGAAAAAAACGTCAAATTGATGGTCACACGTGCGTTGTTTACATCGAACGTAGTAATATGAACTGGTACGGGCAGAATTATATCGTTTTACCCATTTTACGAATCCGCGTAGTATTTTCTGTACCTATTTACGCTAATTATGGAATATTTTTTATCAAAATATACTTCAAACACCTTTATTTATTTTTCTAATACTAAAAAAAAATGTTTCAGAATTTAATTTTTCGAAAGAAAAAAGTTAATATTTTGTAGTCATTAAGTCGCATCGATGTCATCCTTATCAGTGATTGTAGCGTCAAGCGAACATTCACTGCGGATCAGTGTGGACGGGTATAGGAAGACTGAAAGATAAGAATTAATAGATAATTATATGCTATTATTACTAATTATTGAATAACATATATTCATCACTACCTACGACCCACTACGTAAATACATTTATTTGAAATTTAAATCACGTCATCAATTATTGTGTATTATGGCATGTAAATATAGTTCTCAGGTTTAATGTCCCAGTGGCCTCTGACAATATTTTAGCAAATTACAAAACTCCAAACGTTTCGTTTTAATCGTGTTTTGCTTAAAAAAAAAATGTTTCCAAAACAAAGTTTCGTATGTCTTTTTCTTTAATATTCAGTGGCAAGCATATACTGGGACATATTAAAAAGGAACCTTGTGATTATTTCAAATGGCTAATTACATTTATAATTATACGTCATGTATTTCATAATATTATCATGTATATTACCATGTACTGTATTATATTTAGACAGATATAACTGTTAAAATTCTCTATGTCTCATGTGGCCGAATTCTGATGTTGCTGATCGAAATTTACCGTGAACTTTAGGAACTTTTATTCCATTCTATAATAGATTCAATACTGTATTTTATGGGAATAAACGGCGAATGTCCAATAATTTGGGCATTATTTCTGCTTGCACATGCGCATTTCACACTACACGTGCACAATTTACTCGGTTGCAAGATCTTCATTTTATGGAGCTGAATTGAACTTAAACAAGTTATACGTCGTAAGTGTTTAAGTTTAATTTGTATTTTTGACAATCTCGTGATCTGCCCACATCAACGAAATACGTCCCAGTTGTGCATTCAGTTGAATTTGTTCTAACCATAGCCGATGTCATGCCCCTAATGACCTCTCATGCAGTATCAAATATCTGAGATGATTTTCTGTCCCCTGTTCTAATATTTTCAATATGTTTCAAAGAGTTATTATGGCACAAACTTGTAATACTTGTGTTGTTTTTATGTGTCTCTGTAACAGTTTTATTATCCTATATAATAGGCTATTTAGTGGTTTATGGATTTTGAAATATGGTTTAAAAAGTGGGAATATATATGCTAGGAAAAAAAGTTACCATATTTATTTTCCATATTTGAAAACTGAATTTCTATTAATTGAAGAAATTTCTGTAAAGTACAGGAAAAATCAATACAGATAAAAGTGTTTCCTGGCTGTTAGTATTTATTGTGAACATATCTCAGCTGAAAGAATAATATTTTAGATGAAATCATATGCTGAGTTGGTTCATGTGGAATGTATACTGAATCCTTTCTGTGTGGTAAGCCCGTGATGCGTATAGATTATGAACTCGTATTTAGGATACCTTGCTCAACTAGGGACCAGAAGAGACCCCCCCCCCCCCACACACACACACGGGCGTTTCTTGTCTCTTCACTACCGACATCCCCACATCTCCAAATGATCTCTGACATTGTACTGTACTACATTACTTACATTATATATCAGTATTGCCTACTTTATCTTTATTAAGGCTGATGAAATACTTATTGTTGTGTTTTATCATGATTTGGTATAATAAAATAAATTTAAATCAATTCAGTGTTATGGCGTTTATTCTTGTTGTATAAAATATATGGTTTAATAAACTGTTTAAAATATTTAATGAAATCTACTATCAAATGTGTTTATTTATTCATAAGATAAACATAATATAGTGTATTTAACGAGAGCCGCGGTGACTCAGTGAGTAAGACGCTGTTGACCGACAAAGTTCCTCGGGATTTTCTGGCGAGGTTTCCCCTTGTCAATGGTGCTGGACGGAGGGTCTGGTAAAGAATGTGTCCAGGCAAAATGTCCTATAATAGCACACGGCATTGAACACGCATATATTTTGAACAGATATGGCTACGAGGCGTTTCCAAGGGTTATAGCTACATATTTAGATATTTATTTTAATTTGTTTAGTTTTTCTTGTGGGACTGCGCAATGTGGAACAATATAAAGTTATGTCTTTAAATGATTAACAGGAATGTTTGCAGGGAATTAAACGTTTTAGAATTAGTGGTTCTAAAGTTTCACGACAAATAAATATTTTTAAGAGTTTATATTTTCACAGTTTGTTATATGGACGACAAGGATTTAATATAATATATCATATAATTGTCAAATAGAATTTACTTTTTGCTAAATATCACCTCGTCGCTATTTAAAGTCAACTAAGATATACATGTTATATATACACACTATGATTCATTAATGCAAAACACACTTGAGGCTTTATTTAAGAGTATAGAATAACAACCGCTATATATTGTGTGGTTATAGGCTTAGACATGCACGTAGTGCGGTTAAGAAAAATGAGTCATTCAAAATATCTTTATCTTAGGCCCTATGGAATTATTAGCCATTGGTAAAAACCCATACGTAAGCTATTTAAAGAGAAATGAAAGGAAATGAAATAAGGAAAAAACGTCCGATTGTTCTGCACCGACTGGGCTAATGAAGACTGGCATACACCATGCAGTGTGCTACGAGAGAAATTTTGCCCGGACAGCGGCGCTACGGTATAATCTTATTTTGAATTCCAACTACCAAGGGTTCTTTTACGTGCACGCCAGTAGGTACCCGGGACCTCGACTTTTTGTCCCATCCGAACAAGTCTATATTTGTTGACTCTTGCCAGGCCCTCCTTCCTACACCACTGACAAGAGGGACCCACGCCGGAAATCCCGCGGACTTTTTTCGGTCAACACCGAGCCACCGAGGAATATAATACTTGCGAAGAAATAGCGAAGAGGCATAATTTCTGCTTTGGGGGTCTCGGTCGGTTAATAATAAACTAATTGTCGATTTGACGTCAGTTGATTATACCAAGCCATAAAATTGTTTTTAAAAGTTTGAACTATGAATTTATTGTCAGTGGTGGTTTTCAAGGTATTTAACGACAGCTAACACAAAATACAAGTATGTTATAATAAGCACTGGGGATTTCGGTGGTTAAATTATTAGGAATATGATTTTATTCAAAATTAATCACATTTGTGTTACTTGGCGAGAGTGAAAATGACCTTTAAATTTTCGATAGGTAAGGGTTGTTTTTACTGTTACAAAATCACTTTAACGATTCTTAAATAGTTGAGAATATTAAAAAACAAAAATCATAACGGACAGACGTAACATCAGATTTTAACCCGAGAATGACTATAGTCGCTATATTTGCTTAATGTATACTCTGGGTGACTCTTTGGCAAATCATAATTGTCAATTCTCTGGGTATATGATTATCAATTAAAGATGAAGGATGAGCTTTCTGTCACACATAAAATAACATATCACAAGCACTTCAGGTTTATTTCGAAAATACATCCTTAAGTGCACGCATGATAACACTTAGATGTCTATTTTTACATAGGCCTACGATGATTCATTTTCTCAAGTGGTGCATAGAAATTCATATTGCATAGAAATTTATAATTTGATAGTGAAGTACAGTTTATTCAAATTTAAATACCAGTAACATAAGCTTGATATGACTCATCTTTTATCTCGTCAAGTGTTACATTTTAAAACATCCGTTGCTTTGAAGTGATGAAGTAGGGTGTCCTGTAATGGGACTGTCTTTACGTGGCTCGCCAAAGAGCTCAGATAAGTCTTAGTGAGATCGATTCCATAGCTAGCATTAAATCAAAAGAAATGACACAAGGCATTAATAAAGAATCAACAAGTTTTATTACCACTAACTGGCCAATAAGGCTTATAAGGCTAAAATAGGTTTCATAGAATTATATGTCAAGGATGCCGCGGATATGTGGTTAAATAGTCCAAATAAGACTAGGCCTATAGCCTATAACTATAGGCTAACGGTAGACAGTGGCGGAGTAAGCTCCACCAAGGCCTGAGGCGGCAGTTGCTGGAGGGCCTATTTAGTTTTTAAATAAAGTTAGAGCCAAGGTAGTTGCTAACATTAAAAATGGGATTCGTTACTGAGGTTATAATATTATTAAAATATTAGTTATAACTATTGAAATTTGTCGTACAAAATGCTTTGACAGCAGAAACGTCACCGGAAACCAACTGTACATACACCTATTTTCAAGGATAATATTTCCTCATGATGGGGTGTTTACATCGAAACTAGCGCAAGATCTTTTGCTAGATATTTTTTCTTAAGCCAAAGTCGTTTGATATTGGTTATGTAACTTTATATGCCCATAAATGACGTCACGTGGATACAATATATTAAGCAAGACATAACCGAAAACTTACAAGGATTTAACGTACATTGTAGGCCTACGTTTAAAAAATAAGATCAGATCTCCAAACAATAGGGCCTATTTAAAATGGCGTTGGCCTAATTAATTTCGGGTGAGGGCCTATGTTGATTTCCGTTGGGCCTAAACCCCACCCCCTAACATTCATTGTCTATGCGTTTTTAATCGTATCAGACAAGTCTACAAAAAATTTTTTTTACAAAATCTTTGGGCCTGAAGCTGCAGCCTCATCAGCCTCACTGATAATCCGCTACTGACGGTAGACTCGAAACGCCGTGAATAATTATAAAACAACAATATATAATTTATAAACTGACTTTATAATCAGACTAACACCGATTCTCCTCCATGGTTTGATTATAAATGTTTTTATAAATATATATTAAATATTTTAAGAAAAGGTTATTCTATATGGGACGATCACTGTCTAGCAGACGTGAAATCGAGCCAGGGCGTAGAGCGCAGAAACAACGAACGTGGTTGCCTATAAAATACCGTTGCATCGGTATCACGTGACTAGATTATCCAATCTCTGCATGGGATTTCTTCTCGTCTAATGGGAACGCCCGAAATGCCACGCACTGTCAATCTCCCAAACAGAGTTGTCTTCCCTTGCAGAATGCTGGATTGCGAGACTTGTGTGGAGAGTGACGCGCTGTATCTACTAAAAATGCATATAAAATGAACTATAATATGAGTGTTAAAGGTAATCAAGTTCAAGGAATTCATAAAAGACATTACAATTAACTGTCAATATACTTATGGTGAAAATAAGCTAAATTACACCATGTTAGTGCACTTCCGGTTTAACGTAACAGAACGAGACCGAAGAAAGGCCTAGATAGATGTAAACTATCTAAAGCATCTAAAATGACAGTTAGCCGTCCAATTGTATGATAACCAGTACTATACATCTATGATTTATGGTAATTAATACATGTTTTGATAATAAATATATCTACAATCTATACAATAATGTTTTCATTGATAATATAAATAATTCGTAATAGTTCCAAACATCCTGATTTGATCTCTAACAACTACGGTACGGTAACAAAACTTGACCGTACTTTAGTGAATGTTTAAACTCAGTGATTAAGAAGTTGGCTTACTAACCAGCAGTTCTCGGGTTCGCAATAGGTGTTAGCCAATAAAGTTCTTCGAAGATTTCCCGGCGCGGCTCCCCTATTCAGGACCTTGCAAGGACAGCGTCAAGTCGTTCTGGTGGGACGAAAAAACGAGGTACACAAAATTTCCTTCATTGTACATTGTATGGCGTATGCTCGTTTTCATTAGCCTTGTCGGTGCAAAAGAGTAGAACGTTAAACCGCATTTCATTCCATTTCTATATCTGAAGTTATTACTAACAGCTCCGGTACGTGTGGGGGTTGGATGGCCGAATGGTTAGCACGTGCACAGTAGCACACTGTATCATAAGGTCTGTCATTGAGTGAACTGCCGTTGTTTCGATTGCCCGGTTGTACGTGCCAAGGAGTAGGGTCGCCTGTTCAACCGCGTGGGTTTTCTCCGGCTCCACCGGTTTCCCCCCATTGCTAAAGACCCCTACGCGAAAGCAAATTATTGAAATAAAATGAAACCATATGTTAGTCCCGAAATGACCTAGTTTGTTTCGAGTTGACGTTACCCCCCCCCCCCTCTCCCCCCGCTACACGTGTGTTATATTCAATATTGATCTTATAGTAACAGAATGTTTTATACATCGGCTCTGGACACATAATGATCATAAATACGTATGACAGCCTATTTTTAGAAGAGGTTCCTTGACAGGAGCATATCAGTGGTGCTTGTTGAATGGATTTCATTTTTACTTGGTTAAAGCTACAGGTACAAAGCAGTGTAACATAGTAAGTTCTTAATATATCTGGTACTTCTATTCACATTTAAATTTAATACACTTCGAGTATAATAGGTTTGTTGTCAGGAACATATATACAAATTATTATACGGTACACAGCCATACAATACTCGTACGGTGTAGACTACTAGACTGGGCTAAAAGGCCAACTTCATAGGTAGATGTCTTCACGTCGATATCACAGCCAGTCTGCTTCCCACACCTTTTCTCTGATTTTAAGGGTCTTATATACACATAACATATCGTATGAACAAATCAATATACGCTTTGTAGTCAAAGTTACTAGATATTTGTTCGGTATGGCATACCTGTATTATGTAATTGAGTTTATCGTCTATCAATTAAGCATGGCTATTACTGCTTTGTAGCAGCAGTAATTGTGTATGACCTGTACATTTATGTATCTATAAAATTACAGATCTCGTTTAAAATGCAGTTGTATAGTTAATGTTCTATATACGGTACTTAAACGTATTAAGAATCTATATAAAACAATTTAAATTCAAATTCTCCAGATCTGTTTTGTGCTGTCCAGTTCTTCAAGTACAGGCCATCCACCGCATTGTAGGCAAGGTAATGATCTACAATTATATTAAAAACATGTTGTACGGTTATAAATTTATGTTTCTTACGACATTACGGTGTTGGTTATTGGCTGACAGACGTTTTGTTTTAAACTCAGAGTACGCTGTTACCTGGCAATGGAGCGGAATTCACGACCAATTCGGGGAAAATCCCTTCTAGTGAACAACATTTCTTTGCAAGAAAATCTGTATCATTCTGAACATCAATGCCGTGAATTATTAAACATACATTATGCAAGAGCTAAATCTGTCTATTGCAGGTCTTTATTTAGGCCTGAAATGTTAGCTAAATTATTAATTAGACATTAATTAACCTATCCAGACCATAATCAACTCTAGATGGCATCGCTAGCCTTCGATCTTAAGTGGATTGTGATCCGATTTACTGCATTACTTTCCTTCTCGATTAAACGATTAAATGGATAATCGAGACTATGTTGTTTAACGTACTGACTTTAGTAATGATGACCGAGGCTAGGCAGAAATTTCATTTGCTTAGTTCTCGGTTCATAGTGGATCAATTTGAATGAAATTTTCAGCAAATTGCCTCTACGTTATTTAGTTTTTAATTATTATAGTGAGAACTGCCAACTCGTTATCGAATCTCCCATAATGTATATTTAAGTAAGATATTTTGCACAAAACCTTTAGCTGGGAAAATGAACTCTAGCGTACGCTTCATTCCAAAATTTTATGTTAACTTACTTTTACTCTTTACTGACTGGAAATAGTTGATATCATTAGCTTCTTTGGACTTGGTGCGAAAAAAGAACCGTTTATCAACTTTGACTCTTTTTTCTGCAAACTCAATTGGCTGCATCTTTAAAAAAAATATGGAAGAGAATTTATCAAACTCCTTATACGCCCATAAGCAGTTCTAAAAAAATCCCGCTTAAAGATACATTCCCGGGTACAAATTGGGTGATTTGATGATATATTTGGACTAAAAACATATTCAAACTAATTAATTTATCATAATTTTGCTTCAAATCCTTCTCAAAACATTGCAATTGTCAGGGAATAGCCGGCTATAAAAAATCGATCAAAAGAGGTCATGTTTGTGTCACGTGACACAATGGGTGCGAGCTCGGAGGAGAATTCATTGCATACACAAGACAATGTTGCCTTTATCGCTGATTATTTATTACAAATATCGAAGCCTAATTAAATTCTCGGATTAGCCACTGTCCGCGTCTCTTTCCGTGATTTTTACAAGTGTTGTACGTCTAACTCTTCATAAAGTTTATCAACATGTAAACCAAGCGCTCAATCTCCGCGTGCAACCTTCGACGTCACGCGTGCAGACACTCCTAATCGTCGGGCTGTCGATTAGGGAAACCCGTACATTTTTGTCCTGTATGTGCTCCATGAGTGTTTTTCAGGGAATCTATTATTTTTCTAGTAAGATTGGATATTTCTACTTTCCATATATACCAAAATTGCCATACTTTTATTGGAAATAACCACCCGATAAATACTTTTCTGGGAACGTAGCTTGACTATGACAATTTTGCATTTTTAACCACGATATGCTGTCTTAATATGACAACGTTTCGGCTTTAAATATATGTTTTATAAGATGGTAATTTTATTTAGTTCACGTATAATAGCAAGTGCAGGGACGAGGGCGTCACTACACACAAACAGTTACACAAGAAAAACCTACGGACAGGGCGCAATATACACCCACGCCTCAAAGAACAAACGTGCGTATCAGATCAAGCCAATGAATCCGTGGGCTAGCCGTAAGCGTCCACTGCATTATGCAGACCTGGCCTGTAGTGATACAAGCTTCACTCGTAATAAAATACCCCAATGGCTTCTTTTTTGTTTTACTATAAATATCACCTTTTAGTTTAACTAAATATCATTTGTGCTTGATAACGATAAGAGAATACTTGTCGAAACGTCGTGCTATACTTATAAACCAGTGATTGTATTTCCATATAAACTGTGTTGTGTTTTTAATGTGTTCAATCGCTAAATGCCACTCAAGAATTATAAAAAAAACCTAATTAACAATAAGGGAAGTAACTCAAGAAAAGGGTGGGGGATATTTCCCAAACGTTGTAAATATAATACTGGTGTGAGTGACGATTCGCTGTGAGCTACAAGAAATCCCAGTAGTGTTTTATATCACGTTATGAGACTGCTGTCCTTAACTCAGATCGATTTCAAATACAGAGGGTTATGGGTCTAGACTGTGTTACACCAGGGTTACCCCATGCTAGCCCCTGTGATTAAAACTACTCCGTCTTAACAATATACCCACGCCTGTAAACGGCTGGCCGGAAGCACACAGGTAACGACAATATTGCGTATTTTGAATGTTGGAATATAAACTATATTTAAACGATTCTTAAAGATGCGTTATGCATAATTGAGATAGAGAGCTGATCGTTTTTGCTATAATAATTCAACAATAGATAATGCAAAATGAATATTACTTCATTTTGAGCGAAGTTATGAATATTTGAAGTTTTAACTAGAAACAGCGTAAATAGTGTCGATTGTAAAATACCGTTGCTGCGATCATTAGTCTCGGTTTTCCATTTTAACATTATCCAATCCAATTAATATATCCGTCATCCCATGGTCTAGAGAGATGATTACGGGATTGCCATGTGAACAACTATCTAAATAATAATTTATAGAACATTTGAAGCCAGAAAAAAAACTGTGTTAGGCAGATTTAGCCCTTACATAATGATTCTTTAAATGTATTTTAACAGGACGTGTGCATATTTCAACAGTAGACTTACCGATTCAAATTGAATATCTTTATTACCCCTACATTGGCATAGAAAGGTATTATGTGATACATCCTGGATACAGCCCATATATTCATATTTTCCATCTACAGGGCCCACCTGGAATTCTGTATATAAGAACTTGACTGAAAATGGCGACAATCAAAAATTAAAATTAGTGTCCAATTAAAGTGACATTGAGCTTATAGTGCCTTCAGTTGAATAACTTTGTGTTTCCATGAAAACAAAACTGACTTGAGTTATATTCCGGATCATATCTCTTACTAGCATAATCACTGACAAGAACTGACAATGCAGCGAAATTAATAATAAATGGGTGATAGATAGAACTGACATGTAACCCATTCACAAAATCAGTTCAATTGACTGAATATTACGGAAGATATGTGGTTTGTAAGAGCCCGTGCATATCTCAACAAATGAAATTAAATGGGGTTTAACGTTCTAACTTTTCTGCATCGACTTCGCTATTGAAGACAATGGCCGAGACGGACATGCGCCATACCGTGTGCTATGTGGGAACTTTATTTGCCCGGACAGCAGCGTTATGGCATACTTTTAAGGCGTGCACGGGACCTCGCTTTTTTGTCTCATCCGAACGACTAGACGCTGTCCTTGTCAGACCCTCATTGTTGCACCAATGAAAATGTGTCATAAATGTGTCATAAATACATGCAGGGATATTTCTGAAAATGAGCAAACTACGACTTACAAAAAAGGTTCTTTTCGCCGTCAATTACATCCATGCTAATAGCCTTTCCATCGTATTTCAAATACTTTAGATGACTATAGCAACAAAGTCGTATAATTCTGGCTGGTATTCTTTCAATATATTCAAATGAACGTTCGGTGATAGAAAACTTGAAATTTTCTGTAATAGTAGTAATATAGATTGTACAAACAATTATATCTTATTTGTTTTAAAAGATGCCTACCGTTCCAACATTGACAAAACCTTTAAAAAATCACCTTCATTACTCAATATAGCAGTATCAAGTTTCTCAAAGTTTCGTCAATAATTGCAAAACATCGGTCAAGAATTCCCATTAACGTCGCACATTTTGCACATTACAAAACTTTTACCAAGGTTACACTGTCAAAACCGGGTGCAATGATAAACAATAAGTGACAAAAAATTTATACCGTAGCTAGTCTTTATAACATGTAACGCTGCGTCAATGTTATTTAGATGTCAAGGGATGTTTTGATGTCAAGCTGTATCAATTTCACACCGTAAGCGATGGGTTGCAGACGTGTGCATGTCTACACCAATTTGGTGTTTTTTGTTAAATATCTCTATATTCGGCGTTAATCTCATTAGTTCCAAAATATAAGTTATTTGTAGCATGTTTTATCAATAGCTGATCTTTACAGCAAGGGTTTGGAACGGGGATGAGTCCGGAATGGAAAGTCGCGGAATGCTGCATATTGATAAGGGTCATATCGTGCTATGGTGGCTACACAGCTTCATCTTAAATTTGGGGATCACGGTGGCTAAGTGGGTAAGACGTGGATTCAGTGATGCAGGACGGAGGGCCTGACAAGGACAGCTGTCTAGTCGTTCGGATGGGACAAAAAACCGAGGTCCCGTGTACACATTGGCGTGCACGTAAAAGATGCCTTGACAATTGGAATTCGATATAAGAGTAGGCCGTAGAGCCGCTGTCCTGGCAAAATTTCCCTCATAGCACACTGTATGGCGTACGCCCGTCTTCATTAGCCCAGTTCGGAGCAAAACCCCATTTCATTTCGTTTCATCCTAAATTTGAAAAACATGTTAAATAATGTAACCCATTTCGCGTTCGCGAAACGGTGTGTTGAGTATCGATATGTTTCATGCCTCCATAACCCCAATTCTTCAATTCTTCAAACCAAATTTCAAAACATTCGGTTAAGAACTATAACCTCTATCGCGTTCACAAGGGGTGGTCATCACACGACCACAATGCACCACACCGAATTTGAAAACAATTGGTTAAAAGTTATAGCCTATATCATGTTTACAAGGTTTTCAGAAAGGGAAGATAACTCCTTGGTGGAATATCAACAGGCCTCATCCTTTATGACACTTACTTAACACCAAATATTGAAAACATTCAATGAAAAACGGTGGTCTCTATCGCATTCACTGGGGTCTTTGTAGTGGGAGAATTACACCGGAACGGAAAGTAGTGGAATGCCGAATATAGCGTGTACAAGGTTTTCGAAAAAGGGGGCAAAGCACTGATATGAAAGGTCGCAGAATGCTCAATATCGATAGGTTCCGTCCTCTCATGACCACAGTAACTCACAACAAATTTGAAAAGCCGCTATCTCGTTCACAAGCCAAATATTGACTGACGGACAGGGGCGACAACTATACGTGTAGGCGTATACAAAGTATTTGTAAATCTCACGGAATATATAAAATTACAATTACATACTAAGTATTTTTGAACATGGGCCATCTTCTTCATACTGTGTGGCTTGACTGGTGAAAGTTATGAACTCGGTGATTCCGCTCTCCACTCTCTTTACTTCTATAACCTGAAGATAAAGACTAAAATTACTTATGTGATTATTGCAATCCTCTATGCGGTATCCTATATTTTTTGTTAAATTTAACAACATATAAAGCATTGCAATACTTTAAGCTATAAACCTGTTATCTGTATAGTGCGTAGCTTGTGTTATGAAGGAATAATGACAAAACAGTGTATGTATGTCACCAGCTAGCCTCCACATAACCTTCTTCGCAACAGATTGGAATTAATGCCAAACTATACATTCTTCTGAAAAGCCGTCAATCCATGAAGTCCAATCAACTAAAGCGAATATATGACAATATCTCTCTACTATCAAGTTTCTACCGACAATCAAAGCTAAGAACCATGATGATTATATCAGTAAAATGTATACACATATAAGCTCCAGTTTGGCCAATCTTATGCGGGAAGAAAACATTGAGATATGTGCAATGAATATGGATCTTCGTCAAATAATTAGTATGAATTATTGTGCTGATCGTCCTTTGAACTGCACATAATCAAATCTAAAACGTTTTTAATGATCGTGATGGGAATTCAAAATTGAATAAATCAGTATGGAAAACAGATAATGTGATTAAAAGTTGTACAAACCAATGTTGATTCTTCTTTATAAAAATCTTCAATCTCTCTGTTAAAGTGCTTCACTAGTTCAGTGTGTGAGAAGCTGATTGTACTGTTTACAGATATTACTTCATCATCTTTTCTAAAACTAAAATACCATGATTAAAGTCCACAGTCTACCAAGACAAAGATCTTTAAGGATAGGAAGACCTTTTCTTTGTTTTTGTTTTGTTTATTTTAGATCTGATTGCTATCATGGTAAAGGAAAAGGTTGGTGTTCATATGGTTAAACAGATAAATCTTTGTCATGGTTTATCCATAACAACAATTTGATGGGTCTGTAAGTTTCACGGGAGTCACGGTGGCTAAGTGAGTAAGGCGCTGGCTCGCTAGCCTGGAGATCGCGGGTTCGCTTCCGGTGTTGACCGAGATAGTTTATCTGGATTTGCCGGCGTGGTTTCCTCTTGTCAGTGATGCAGGACGGATGGCCACTACAAGGACATCCGTCTAGTCGTTCGGATGGGACGAAACAGTTGGAATTCGATATAAGAGTAAGCCTTAGCGCCGCTGTCCGGGAAAAATGTCCCCCAATAGCACACTGTATAGCGTATGCCCGTCTCAATTAGCCCAGTCGGAGCAGAAAAGTAGGACATTACATCTCATTTCATTTCATTTTGTAAGTTTCAGCGGTAAGATTTACAACAATTGGGATGTGTAACTAATTATATAATACATTTCAAATGTGTGTCATTTGATAATGAACATGTAAATTTGGGGTAATTTAATAATGCTGAAAGTTGTTTGAGCAACTTTTGCCGTCTATTAAAAATATTTTTGAAATGTGTTTAAACAAGCCTATCACATATTATGACAAATTGGTGGATATACGAATCTTGACCTTCAATACTGTTTCTGTGTTACTTTGTATGTTTGTGTTTAAAAGGGGAGATTTACCATTTTTCCAGTCTGACCTTTTTTCTATGCAGGACGGGGGGTGAATGGCTGAATTGTTAGCGTGTGTGCGCTGTATCATAGTCTGTCATTGAGTCAACTGGCGTGGTTTCGATTTCCCGGTTGTACGTGACAAGAAGTAGGGTCGCCTGTCCAGCCCCCTGGGTTTTCTCCGAGTCCTCCGGATTCCTCACACTGCTAAAGACCCCTACGCGCAACCGAATTATTGAGATAAAATTAAACCATATGATAATCCCGAAATGACCTAGTTTGTGTCGAGTGGACGTTAAACCCCATCTCGCCTGTCCAGCCCCCGTGGGTTTTCTCCGAGTCCTCCGGTTTCCTCCCACTGCTAAAGACCCCTACGCGCAAGCGAATTATTGAGATAAAATTAAACCATATGATAATCCCGAAATGACCTAGTTTGTGTCGAGTGGACGTTAAACCCCATATCTCTCTCTCTCTCTCTCTCTCTCTCTCTCTGTGCAGGACTTTTGATAACCCGGACGGCTAAGTGGGAATCAAGAACCTAGAGGGGTCGTCTCGGCCAACTGTGGGATCCGAACCACATAACCAAACAATAAATACAATCCAACTTATGCAAACGGTGGTAATTTGGTCGAGAAGCAATTGGGCATCCGTAGATGTAACTTAACTCTGTGCAAACATACAGGAAAAGTCATTCACATAATATATTTAAGAAGTAAAAAAAAAATGTATTATGTAATAAAAGGAAAAACAACATTCATGACGCATTGATTAGCTTTTACGAAAACGATAGCACAGTTATTATTACCGGTACTATATTTGTCTTAGAGAGATAAAGATGGTCGTACGAAATCGATTTAAATAATATTGTGAGCAAATTGCTTTTTTTTATATTCATGGTCCCGAACTCTATAATTAAGTTACATTATAGCATTTGCGTACGCTGGGGGTTTATTTAAGGATGTATAATGTACTAAATAATCTCTGCATGTACAATATTCTATAATGTGATAGATATACTCACTATTTTCTGAAGTTTTCACACTTTATCTTACTTATGATGTGTTTGTTTGTATTAAGGGTCGTTAGTTCAAATAAACAGTATTTCCTTCTAGCTTTAGGTTCAGCAGAGGAATCTGGCTCATCTGATTCTTCGTCCGCTTCTACCAAGATTTCGGACGTTTCGGTATTACTACATGCTCCGGTCTGTGAAATTGTCAAGGAATCAATTTCTTTATAGAGTATCTCGGTTTTTACACAAGAACTGTTCATTCCCTCTTTCTCGAGCACGGACTCGTTATTTGAACACATAGCCCCCTTTGGACAGGGCTGACCATTTGTTCGCCTATTGGCCATTCTGGTCGAGGAATTAGTTTCACATCTATTGGAATGAGACCAATTGACGAGAAGCACTGTAACTAGGATTCTTCACAAGTAAATTAGTCAGTAAATCAGATGAAGTTGTTCAACATGTAGTTTATACCCAATAAACATCTCTTATCACTATCTGGCTTAACAAAGCTGTTCAACATGTATGTTTATACCCAATAAACATCTCTTATCACTATCTGGCTTAACAAAACTAGAACAAATAGATTAAATTAAATAAATAATATCACTTTGAGTACGAAATTAAATGCAGTTAGTTAATATACATGTAATGTCATATATATAAGAAAATCCTAAACTTAGAATTCAATCGTTGGCCAACTTATTGCATGAGTGTCCAGTAGTATTTACTACAATGACTATATTAAAATTGTCTGTGTCCCATCTCAGACAAAGGATTGACAGATTTCACATGCAATCTAATTAATTGACCATTAAACAAAAAAATGTATACGTGTGTCGATTACCGATTTGGGATTACTGTTATACTTTTCTGCTATAACCAAGCTAATGAAGAAGGTATGCGCAATGGACATGAAGTGTTCGGGGCGACATTTTGCGAGCATAACGGCGTTTAGGCCTCGTCATTGAATTCTACCAGTCAACAGTTGGTTTTACGAGCACCCTAACGTGTACATGCGACTTTGTTTGTTTTCGTCCAGTCCGAAAGACGAGAAGTCGTTCCCCAGGAACTTCTTCCTACACTACTGACAACTGGAAACCAGACCAGCCACGAAAATCCCGTGGAACTTCCCTGGATCGAACCCTTGTCCCCTGATTTTTGAGCAAGCGTCTTAATCACTGATCCACAGTGGCTGCTCTATATCCCACATACATAATGCAGCATAAAACCTGGTACCGTCTGTTCAGTGAACCAGTGCCATACTCACCGAATCAATACCAACCAACATTGAAACCCGAAGGGATTAAATATCGATTTCTTACCAGGAAATATAAGAATTTTAAATCGTAACGCTCGTCGCGTATTTGCAAATAATTCACAAGGTATTGCACTTAATGCTAATACATGTATAATCCTACGTCGCACAGTAATAAACATTACTTCCATTGTGGTCACTGTTCAATTACTGAATGTCATTAAAATAGATATGCTATCATCCATTTCCTCTATTGATTCAAGGGACCCAGTAGTATTTTCAGCCAGGGTCCCCATGCAAGCTTAATCAGGAGCTGTATATATAGCTAAAGTCTTACCTATATTATGTGTTTGAAACGCCATAACGAACTAATGCTAAACGGCTATGTTATGTCATTATAACATGGTTATGTCCTATCGTAACAAATAAATAATTTAGATGTCAACGCGTGTGCAGCGATGTACATCATTTCCCGTCAGTAAATTTTAAAGGTGCGATTAGCCGAGCTTAGATTCGTTAGATAATCATTTTCGTTTCTTTTTATATGGGGTTCATTTTAAACTGTACATGGTTCTCGTACACGATCTAGTGTATGCTTACAATGTTGTAGAATTTTCAATTAGGAAGGTCTATTAATATTGTTTCATTTTATTCGGGCCTTCCTTAGGATTTTGTTACTACCGGTACGTTTCTGCTTCATCAAGATATGCCCAATTCGTTGTAGTGGCGATTTTATTTTCTTAATTAAATGTTAAATAATCAATTTGATTATATACATGTATATTAGCGGGGATTGAATTTGATATTTTCCTAAAAGTACAAATCACGCATCGTTACTTTAAGGACCTTAGAACGTTTTATTTTATTTCATTGTGTTGGAAGGGATATGAAAATAGGACTGCAGTGTTAGTCGTGCTAATACTCATCACGGGTTACCGCCGTCAGCTACATGTACATCACTGACGATATTTTGCAATAGCTGTTCTGAATAGATCGGAAATCTTATTTCGTTTACATTCATTTTGTGTCTTATTTTTAGTTAAGTGCCGACGAGTCCCGATTTGTATTTCGAGCCTCTTATTATCAACCAGCGTCCAGTCGGTTTTCTCCGACCGTGCTTCTAGCTGTCATGTCGACATTGTTGTCCACAAACTTTTCAGTCTGTCTTTAACTGTCAAAATGTTGTATTAAATTAACTGACTAGCTTTAGTCATTGCAAGGGCGAGATAGATCCACTCTCCAGGTACTATTCTAGATCAATTGTATTGCGTGTTATTCAGTGTTCTTAGAATTATGTGTCAGTTTCAACGAGTGACCATACAGCGTGTGTTCGCCCCGCGTGTTTGCCGTCTGCCAGGACATTATTAAAAATGGTTATTTACATTTTGATGTTATTTCAGACTATTATAAAATACAGAAATGACTTTTAGGGATTAATATTCAATGCCTCTAAAATAATGACTTTTCTGTGTATTTACCAAAGTTTATTATCATTGTTATTTGTTTACATTTGTCATAGATCCATGCTTTTGTTAGATGTCATGCAGCCACTTGTCAGTGGATTGGCGTTCTAGTCTAGGCCTTTAAAGGAACATTGTCATATTTTGTCATATCTTCTTTAAAGGGACATTGCATACAACTGTCATATTTCGTCATAGTCTAACCTTTAAAGGGACATTTATGTCATAACTTGTCATAATCAGTTCTAGTCCTTATTGTCCTTAACTTTTGTCTTTTCAGAATGAACGATAATGAACGAACGATATATGTGAATGACATATATGAATGGCATAATTATGAATGATAAATGGTATATGATACAATATGAATGATATGATTGACTATATGAATAAACGTCTACATGTCTTAAAGTCTAAATATATGTCGTCATTAACGGAAGATCATTGAGCCCTTGAATAGCTACAACGCGAGTAGTCACATCAATAGCATGGCAAGCTTTATAAACTTATCTGTATTTGTGAAGTTGACCCATATTTATGACACAGCCTGCTTGTGGATTATTCTTAAAATGGTGGTCTGGAATGCCATTTTCTTTTCTTTTTTATGTTGATTTAATTGAAATGAAATGAAATGAAATGTTGTTTAATGGCACGTCAGCTCCAACCGGGCTATATTGCGCCAAACATATGGTGAATATTACAAGACAGGCTAAATTATATCACAGAAAAACATTATATGCATAAATAAAAACAATATCACAGTTAGTAAAATTAAAAATAAAATACAACTTTTATACACATAAATATTAAATACAAAAATGAAATGATATATATATATATATATATATACAATTAAAATTTATGATAAAATCCTGTCTCGATTTAATTGAAAGTCGATATCTAATTTATATAAAGTCAATGATAAACGGCAATATTACATTCAGTAAATTGCGATTCCGAAAACATGTACGAGAGTTTCGGTATGCCACCGGGTTTGTGAGTGGTGCAGTTTTGCTTCTAAATTAATATGACACCCGCCTTACCTTGCTTGCTGTGAACTATATCACCCGGATATAAACCAGTATATGCCATTGTTTCAAATTATCAAGGGAAATTGATAAATCGAATTTCATCAATCCATGCACAATTCCCTAGTAACAAGCATGTCAAATTTCATGTCGATCTTACTTGAATTGCCAGAGCCTTAATCGTTGAAGAGCGTTGCTCCCAAGAACAAGAAGAACAGCATGATGAAAAGCGCGTGAGGCCAAGTTCCTGGTGGAAATGGAACACAAGCAAACATGTTCAAATGTAATATTATATCCTTAACTCCTGTGAAAAAATAAATAAATCGTTTGAAAATTTTCATCAAAACTGTTAAAGTTTACCTTCAATAAATCTAAGAAGATATCACCAAATTTCCCGTTGTCTATTAATAGTGAATACAATATCCGACGTTTTGAAAGAAAATTTTTGTTGATCTCCTTCACAGAAATACCACTATGACGGATGATAATGCTTGTTAACATCAAAATATTTCTCCACGAGGTTATATAACCCTTGAGGTTAACGTTGTCCTAATACATATGCACTACGGGGTCAATAAACAACATGCTGTTATGAATGGGTTATTTTTAGAAATAGGAAACTTCCAAGTGTGTTATCTTACAACTATGGTGGCTGATTGGTATCATGTCGTAATGTCGTGATGTCGCCTTTCATAACGCGACAACCCGACATCACGACATTTCTACACAACCCGACATCACGACATTTCTACACGACATCACGACATTTTTACCCGACATCACGCCTTTTTTACCCGACATTACGACACTAAAGGCGACATCACGACATTACGACATGATACCAATCAGCCACCATATACAACCGATACGTGGGAGGAAATGACATGGCTATATACAATTGATGCATGATCACCGGTGACTAAAGATCAACCATCCTTATCCGTTAAGATTTATTGTGAATACACGTTAGAATATAAAGTTTCTTTCAATAAAGAAGATGATGTTTCGGCGATCATAAAATCCTTTCTTACATAGCTCCTCAAAAACTGTCTTGCTGAAATGGCACCTCGCATTATTACTGACATTACCATTTCATCTATAAAAAACATATGTTGTTCCTGATATATTTTAAGTCGCTCAAGTATTACCAGCTAATAAAAATTTAACTTAAATGAATTAATAACACATTATTAATAACTCGTTGATAAAGTAAAAAAAAACTCGGCAGAGCGTCGTTTTTTGTTACTTTATCAACTTGTGTTGATATTTTTGGATATCAAAAAAGACTGGTAGGAGATTCTCTATATCTTAAACATAGAGAACAATATATTATTGTTATTGGAAAAACCGAAGTCCCACAGGGATCAGTATTTGGTCCGATTCTTTTTAGCCTGAACATATCACCGCTTGGCAGAGTTGTATAGACATATAGTTTGTCATTATACGCTGTTGCCTCCCTGTTGAATATATTGTCATTGTTAATGACAACAATTCAATTTCAATAGGAACCGGTCTTGTTTTAAGATACAATAAAAGTTTACCTTATACGTAGTTAGCTCCCTTCATCTGATTAGAGCCACAGTAATAATTCAAATATAGGAATACTTGAGTTTGTAGATCCGAAGGTTAATTCAATATATTTAGTTCTAGCTGGCATGGGCGATGACCGATCACACCGCCATCTACTGTTACAATTACATCTGTCACGTCTATCAGGCGGAATGCCATTTTTAACTGCATGCATCGATATATCCGGCGTACGTGACAAACTGGGTTCATATTTTATATTTCGAACTAGTTTTATACCGGCGGTTGTCATGTGTTATTAATTCATTTGGGGAAACCAGTTCGTCTTCATAAGTAGGAATTTAGACAATATGGGGTTTAGCGCACACTCTACATAAAATAGGTCATTTCGGGACTAACATAATTATGGTTCAATTTTATTTCATTAATTCGCTTGCGCGTAGTGGTCTTTAGTGGTGGTGGTGGGGGGGGACCGGAGGACCCACGAGGTTGTACAGGCGACCCTACTACTTGTCACGTACAAGCGGGGAACCGAAAACACGCCACTTGACTTAATGACAGACCTTATGATCTAACGCGCACGTGTTAACTATTCTAATCAATTTTCCGTTAAAGAGTTTTTGAAGTAGTTTTTTTTTCTGAATGAATCTTGAGGACTGTTTGTGAGAAAGAGTCTTTATTTGACTAGAATTTAAAGACATAACGGCTCAGTGCGTAGGACAGTGGGTTGCTAACCTGGAGGTTATGTGTTCGATCCTCGCGTTGGAATGGATGAGAAAGTTTATCTGGAATTTCCGGCGCCCCCCCCCCTTGTCATTGGTGTAGGACGGTGGGCCTGGCAAGGGACAACGTATAGTCCTTCGGAAGGACAAAAAACTGAGGTCCTGTGTACACATTGGCGTGCACGTAAAAAGAACCCTTGATAGGTGGAATTCGAAATAAGACTAGACCGTAGAGCCGCTGTCCTGACAAAAAGCACACAACGTGGCGTATGCCCGTCTTCATTATCCCGGTAGGAGCAGAACAGTAGGACGTTAAACCCCATTTCATTTTATTTTATTTAAAGACAGCAACACATCATCAAGCGGCAGACTTGATAAATACTAGACATAGAAAAAATATTTAAATACTGAGAGAATAACTATTGTCTTTATTATTGTTTTTTTGTTTTGTTTTTTTTTTTAAAAAAACAACAATATTTTCATTCAGGATGTCTGAATGGGATTGGGGGGAACAAGCTTAGCCTATGTAAAACCTTCTCCCTATATAATATATATATATATATCAATACAAAAAAATCCCCAAAAGGTCTCTTTATTATTTAGTTCCTGCTTCAGAAATAGAAGACATGAATAATGGGGAGAAGACTTAATTTCCGATATGTGTAGAATTGGGGAAGATATTAAATGGTTAACAGAGAATCTTCAATAATTCAGACAATTCAACCCCAATTATTAATCAGCCTGAAGGAAATCGCCATAATCTAATGTTCCTGTAATGAGTGTGTCAACCACGTCAACATCCTGATACTCAATATAAAGGACTTTGCAATGGTTGAATTGCTGTCAAAAAAATGATGTATCACTACGCCGTTATGTAATCAGGTTCAATAAAAGTGAAATCTACAGTAAAGAATTATATTTATTTATTTGTGCATGTAAGAAAGGATTGGGTAATAAATAAAATCTCCTACTCGTCTTTTTTGATATAAAAAAATACTCGTAGGAGATTCTCTATTTATTAGGCAGTGAAGCTTTTCTATCATTCATCTCATCTGGGCATTGAATAGAAATACACTAAAAATAGTCTTTGTTGCAAATTAAGAGGAAGTTGCAATTTCATTAATTGTTTCCTCGGTGTTCCCGATTTTTGATCAAGAAGGGAGAGAAACAGTATTATTTAAGGTTTTCGGACTGAAGAAGAAATCCTCCAAGTCTTGCTTTTCGAACCTCTACCCAGGAAAATCGAACTAGAGTGGAATGGAAGAGGATCCGAGAAAACGCTAATTAAAACATTTCATTGATCTTTTGTCAACAATTTTATGACTTGGATACACTGGGTATACACACACCCAATTGCCACCGTCTTACATGTTTCCTATTAACATTAGAGGCATACACTTAAATCATTGAAGAAAAAAGTACTCCAAAATACCCAATCTACCAAATAATTATTAAAGGGAGATAAACGTTTATTGTCATTAGGCTACAGATCACATCTAATTTACGACCCCAATTTTCGGTAGGCTAAACGCATCTTACTACAGGCAGAGCAACACATGGCCATGTCTTTAAGTAGGGTCGCCTGTCCAACCTCGTGGGTTTTCTCCGGGGCCTCCGGTTTCCTCCCACTGCTAAAGACCCCTACGCGCAAGCGAATTATGTAAATAAAATTAAACCATATGTTAGGTCCGAAATGACCTAGTTTGTGTCGAGTGGACGTTAAACCCCATTTCTCTCTCTCTCCATGTCTTTAAAGGCTCAATACCACTCTTGTTGTAACTGAATAATATGTCCCAATCTTTATTCTGGTCAACAAATTGCACTATTTTACAATATTCCAATTAATTGATGATACAATTTAGAAAAATAGAAAAATTCAACTAAATGATTTGTAAAGCCTAACGTAAACCTTTTCAAATGTGACTTGGATTTAGAAATATTTTCGAACCCTATGGACAAGTAAAATAGGATGTAATGGATAATTTACACAACGGGTAGGACACATAAACATCTAATACTTAGAATAGGGCTATTATTTATTTTCTGGAGCTGTCAAACCAGCAAGAGTGTCCCTTTAAAATCAGCATTGTTTACTTTTGATATTTGAGATACACAAACTTGAAGTGGCATACTACAAAGCCGTCTTCTTAACTCTGTTATCTCTGTCAAAATCATGAATATGTACCAAAACCCCACAGAAAATGTTAACCCAAACCCTCTTTTTCAATTCTAAACGCAAAAATCAACAAAAATGGCTATGGAAAGGGGAGCAGAGAAGAGGAACACCGAATGGGGTTTTCTCGAAACGGGATTAGTTGAGAATTCGTATCATCATGGTCGTTGGTCGTCGCGTGTCGGCTGCTGGACAAAGTATCATATACAGCTAAGAGGGGGTCGAGCTATTGGCAAGCTGTTTGCGGAGGTAATGGGAGGGGGGACGCTCTCCTGCCAGCACAACCTAATTATGACTCTCCAAATACCACCACCCCAGCAGTCCTGATTTACCCAACCTAAACAGGAGCAATATCTTTGTAATGGCTTATAAATGGTCTTTAACAGCCACATCGGACACTGTATCTCTTATATCCTATGCTAGACTAGCCTTTCAATTACAACTGTAATATCAACCTCGGTGAAAGCCGACTTTAAACCCCACGAACAATGCTTAAATAGTTCACGAAGAAGGTATCGGCTAATTAGCACGCTTGAAGTTCCGCCATTAAAGTGTGCTAGGAAGATAGATGGCGATTCCTTCTACCCAGAGGTAAAAGATTCAGGGCAAAGGCGTCTACTTCTAGCGTTTATTAGAAACCCAGCATTATGAGTTATAGCACTGCCTGATGGTATATTGTATGATAGATGTGCTCGGATTTGTTGACGTCATGTGTGCAGTTTCCCGGAAATGAATCCCAAGAACTTAGGACCCAACCCTGCTACCTTGCCATAAAGGAATTGGTTTTTAAATTTTCTCTGTTTCAATACCCATTTATTTTTGGTGACGTGTATCTGTTTCTGCTAGTTCTCGCCGATTTTCTTAATTTCACAGCGGGTGACCTAAACTGTTTCATAACTGTTTTTAATGGATTTACTATAATGTATATTTATACTACACTCAGAAGATATAACCATTTAATCAAATGAATGTACACTATTCTAGAAATAGATAGCCATTAAATGGTTGTGTCAATTTACATTATTATAATTAACTTATATAACTTTATATAACCTGATGGAATAATCGATAGAAAAGGTCACCGTGATATATATAAATCCGTACCCACACATGTTCTTTTTTATCCTTTCA